TGCCGCGACCCCACTGTGCTGGGTTTTTTTTGTATGAAGGGGAAGTGAAAATTTTTCTTAGGTATATGTGCTTATAAAGAAACCTTAATTACACTACTATAAAATTCTTTATAGTTTATCAACCACCAAAAAGAAAAACGAGAGGATTACGTTAAACGCTGTTTATTGTAAATACACTGTTGTTTACCCTGATAAACTTAAGATTTTATCATAATTTTATTAACTCTGTTTATGTATACAGGTTTAATAAAGCAATTTTTTATCATCATAACTTAAGCATTACTTTTATAGTGTTTATTCTCAAAAACCAAAATAAAAACAGATGTTACTTTGCATGTATCTCGTAAGCTGTTCTATGTCGAAATCGTTTCGCTTGTCTGAAGTTACTTATGAAATTGCAATATATATATATATACATCTCATATATAAGAACACCTTTAGTATAATTATTTAAATTATTTTCTTACAGCCAAATCGTCCTTGTGACCAAGTAAATATTTTTTACAATCCATACAATTAAATTTGTTTTTTTTAGCTAGATTAGTAATATCTTAAATGTCAATTTGATAATTTTATGTTATACTCAAACGTCAACTGTTCTTTAAATTATAAAAATAGTGTAGAAACTACAAAAAAAAAAAAAAAAAAGAAATTTCTAAATTATATAAGTTTTAACTAGTATATATTTTTTAAAAACTTATTTTGTAGACGTCAAATAAAAACTGCAAGGAAAGCAAATGAGCCGGATACAGGATAATATGTCTGATCGTGTAATGTATAAAAACAAAGAAATAGTCAACGTGCGGCACATAATATTTCTATAGTTTAGCAACTAACGTCCAGTGTCAAGGACTAAAAGTATAAAACAATCTGTTATTTCATTTTGTTTTAGCACATTTAAACGTAACTAAATGTGTAAAACATCTACAGTCCATTCACTATAATGAGCTACAAATGAATATATGTTTTTAATTATATGAAAAAAATCGTTTAAATTGTTTCCATAAAAAAAAAAAAAGACTATTTTCACTATTATATTTAAAATCAATCTAAGATCTATTAGACATTTTAAAAAACAAATTGACGTTGCCAACGTCATCAATAAAAAATATCATTAAAAAATTGTGATGAATTTTTTAAATATATTTTCATAAAAATATCTTAACGGATATAAGCATATATGCCACTATTTAAATAAAATAATATCTTAAATTTACAAAATTACAATTATTTACTTGAATTATGTAATTTGATCTAATTATAAGGATTCGCTAAATATTACATATGAAATATCAAGTCATTTATTGACACTTAGTATAATAAGTTATTATACCAAGTAAACTTCATACAGTAAATAAAAAATATAAAATTTACAAAATAAATTGAGTTGCTACCGCTCATAATATCGATTTACCAATTTACATATACTTTACAACAGTGTATAAAAGCGAGGGCTAAGAGAAGTTCACTCTGTTGATAAAAAATATGGTATTACTATTTTTATTAAACATCATATGTGTCTCTGTAATAACTATACATTGAAAACGTATTTTATTTTAGAATATGTTTTGTACAGTCATGTAAAAATTAAATAAAACCAACATTTTATTAAAAGTTACCGACTTGATTTTAAAATATAAAAATGTGCACTCGTATTCATTTTCAATATATGTAACTTTTTATCATATTAAACGACTGACCGTGTAACATATCTATAAGAAGTTCATATTTGAAAACGTTTAAAGAAAAATATAACTCCAACAAATAACATTTTAAACTGTTCGTAAACATTACCGTGTTTCTCAACCTCTATTAATAAAAAGTACATCCTTTTGCAACTTAATATTAAATTAAAGTGAAGTTAATTTACCTTCCATTGTCGATCAAAAAGGCACATAGAGCTAGAATAGCTTAAGCCACAAAGGTGAAATCGTAATTAAGACTAATAATACTTTCGACTTTTTTTATCTATTATTAAAAATAATTTAGTTAGTTCCAAATAAATAAGTCACTCTTTTAGGTATAAAATCTTATCTTTTTAAATATTTATTGTATTTTCCACAAATTTTAAGTCTATAAAAAATGAAGGTGACATTAGCTACTTTAGAATTTTAATAATTACAAAAGAATTAAAAAATGTGTTAGTCCAATTCAATAAAAAAAAAAAAAAATTGATTAATTTTTAATCTTTTTTTTAAGTATTTCTACGTACAAAATATTTTTGATACTATCAATATAAAAAATAAATAAAAAATTCAAATGGCCTAACTCGAAATTGAAAAAAAAATTAAGTGACCTAACCCACTGACATAAAGCTCAAAACACTTAAAAAATTAAAAATATATTTTGAAAGAGGATTTAAGTACGACACCTCTACTAAAAAAAGAACTTTCGAAAGTTAAGTTGATTTGACATAGATAAAAAACCAACTATTGAATGATTTAAGCTATAAGAACGATTTTTGAAAAATTGTAGCTTTGGCTGTTTTAGTATTATATGCCTCAAATGTAAGCTGTAGTCCTTATATATTTCGAAGGAATATACACTTACTTATGACGTGTATTATAAAGTTGTTTTGGTTGGTAAACTTCACTGTCATGTCACTTACAATAAAGATTGTCATCGAATCCTAATAAATGAGTAATCCTTTTATGTGTTCAATACTGAACTTATTAGATATGTGTACATATCTATAAATATTATTTAAAGTCAAACCTTCCTTTTACTTGAATTTCTATATAAGTTATTTTACTCTGTCAGTGTATTTTTATATATTTAAAAAACAGTATTTTTTATATGTGATTAAATTTAACAGCGTAAAAAACTTAAACTTGGACAGCCTTGCAAAAATTACAGTAATATTAATATTTAAGACTTAAATGGAATAATGATACATTTTCTGATTATCCGTATGAATTTTAGTTTAAAGTTTTGAAATTTATTCTTCAGCTTAAATCGTGTGTCTATAGGACAAGTGTCTAGACGTTACGCATTGATTAAGACGGAAAATAAATAAATAAACGTGTCTTCCTCGTAAATATTTTATCAAATATCTTATTGAATGGGATATTTATTTATTTAGACGTGTTTCGCTTACTTGATTCTAAAAGGTGTGCTACAATGATAAACTATATTTATTTCAAATGGACTAAAATTATTCTTTATTGAACAGTACAGCACCAATATGTATACTTATCTACGGTAAAACGACGCTAGTAATTTTTTAACGTCAAACCACATATGTGGTCTTCCCTAATGAATACAATGAGTCATCCTCTATATTTTTATGTAAAGTATATGTAGATTTTTGATAAAATTATGTTTCATTGGTTTTACAATAATTTATTAACATAAAGTAGAATTTTCATAAATATATTATTGGTCCATTTGTTGATTACTATTGAAAACATGTAACTATTATATTATTGAGTCAACAAATGACAGAGAAATACCTATTACTTAGTAACAAGTCGTTCGACTCGTTTCAATGAAGGGGAGAGAGATTGAATGAAAATTATTGTGCTTAGAATAAAATTGATCGAAT